GCTCATACTGATACAGCTGATGGTGGTCAGATAGAAGCCTGTGTACTATGGAAAGAAGTGATGGTCAAGCTCTTTATACTGGGTCTTTCCTTGAGATTAGAGGATGAGGGCAGTTCTGCCCCTCTGATTTTATCCAAAAAAAAAAAAGCAGCAGAGCTACATTGGTGATGAATTTCCCACAGACAGCAAAGTGGAGAACATTTTCATTAGAGGTGTAAATATGACTGATTTTGAGAAGGAGGGGCAGATAAAGATTTGAGAAGGAGGGGCAGATAAAGATTCTCAAGTTACACATATGTTTTTGAGGTGCAGCTGAAGACCAAAGAAATTGTGTGTGCCATTCCCTTCCACATGCACTGGGGTCCCTGAGGATTTGCAGAGTGGAAAGCGGGGCCTTGTTAAGGGGTCAGAAGTGCTGACTGTGAAGGAAGGCATAGAAAGCTCTGTTTTCCCAGGTGCTACCAGGGTGAGTTTGTACCAAGCACCCAACTCCATCAGTTGGGGCTGTTCCCTACCCCACAGTTGGTGTGGGTTATTGGGAGGGGTAGGTTGTAAAAGTAAAAGGCTATTGAGCTGATGCTTTCTTAAGTACTGCAAAAAGGAAAGTGATTTAAAACAGAAGAAATAAAAAATCCTGCTAAGCATGCCATCTTCCTTAAACCCCAGATTTCGGTTTAAAGTGTTTTCACCTTCTGTGTGTGCTCCTGCATACTGATGATTCACAGCACTCCTGCTCCACAAAGGTTTACTGGAACTAATTTATGATGTTCAGAAATGGCACATGGTGCACACACTGTGGGACATGGCTGCTCCTAGCAGGAGGGCAGTTTTCAAGATCCTTTGTGTCGAGCCTATAGAAACAAACAATCTAGTAAGAAAACTCCCCACCGTTCAAATGCTGTGATTGTGCATGCCCAATTAAGCTATGAGCATGTGGGGAGAAAACTTTGATTAAACTCTGGCCCCAGCCAAATGTTCATGCAGTGCCCTGACTGAATATATATTTTCCTTAGGAATGAAGACATACAGAAGCCTCAAGAACAGCAACAAAAAAAACCTTAAATATATTAGATATCTTTAGTCATCTACAGTCCCTGCAGGCACTTCTCAGCACTTGCCTTTAGTTTGGGAGCATTGCATTGTCCTCAGTGAGCAAAAAGAAATAACATCATCTGTCCTGGGACCAGTCACACCATATAACTGAGATTTTGATGTTGTGGGCAGAGCTGTGTGTATTGCTGTAGGGAGGCTTGTGAAAAAGAAAAAAATTGCCCAGTGAATTCCAATAGCAAAAGCCTGTGTTGAATCTCAGTGTGCTCTTAGGCATTCACTAGCAAAAGGCTAATCAGTCAAGTAAACGATTCTCTGGACAGTTGAGCTGTAGAGAGAGAAGTGCATCCATTCAGTACGCACAGAGGCAGAGTGTATTTGTGTAGAGACAGCTCCAGCCGAGCTGGCGTGGGAATGCTGCTGTTTTCACAGTGGGCATTGTTACTATGGAGTCCTGTGAGTTGCTGCAGAATGTCTGTGAAGTGATGGATGGGAAATATGATAGTGTCTTGCCACTCCTGGGCCAGGGGTAGATAGCTGCTGGAGCTGGGGACACTGTCCCTGGCCCAGCTGGGTTTCCTCTCAAATCCATTTTACTCTCTGGGGGGAGTGGGCCTGGCCCATGCATGCAGTAGTGGTCACCCACAGTGATGGTGTTTGTGATCCCTCTGCTCAAGCTGTGGATCTCTTGTGCAGCTGTAATGTGCTGCTGGGGCTGAAAACTGTCATGCCAAACCTTTGGGAAGAATTCTTAGGGCTGACTCTGCTACCATGTTCTGCACCTATTTCCACCTCCAGTGTCAGAAGCTCTACCAGCTGCCAGGCCTTCTCTCTAGACTGTGGGGAGAGGGAAACACTTCTCCAAGGACAGATTTGTGTCCTTTTAAGATGAGTGTCTTAGACAGAATGGGAATAATCACTCTTTGAAAATCATCTTGGTTTCCTCAGGAGGCCTAGGAAGCCTTTTCTGTGTGTTTGGTCTAAAGCCCACTTTTGAGATTTCTCCGGCTGAGTTCACTGGTCCAGGCTCAGAGTTCAAATCTTCAAAGGCACCTCCGAACATTCCCCCCCTCCCTCTGTTGATGCAAATGGATGTCTCATGTCAGGTTGCCTGCAAAGGTAAAGTTACTGTGAGCACATCAGTTTGCTATGAAAGGGAAGGGCTAGTTTGGATTTAGAGTTTTAGCATGATTTTAACAATGTGAACCTGGGCTAGTCTAGAAATGGCCAAACCCCTTCTCTGCCATGTGCATTTCTGGCTTTGAGCTCAGTGTACTCTCTGCTGGACTGGACCAGCACAGGAGACAGTGTCATCACACTGTGTCAGTTCCCATATCATGTTTACTCCTGTGCCTTCCTGCAGCCAGCAGACTGGGGCTCACAGGACTTCCTTATTGTGTCCAGTAGCAACTAGGAAGCATGCAGGTCTTGGAGTCATGCTCCTTAGAAATGGCTGTGTCCTGCCTTTTCCCAGATTGGCAGAGAAAAGGTACTCATCCAGGAAGCCTGGACTCAAATGGTGCCACTTAGCAGCATTTGGACATCCCTCTTGGAGAGATTATAGCATGTCTGACAGACAGACATGTCCTTTGTGTTATCTAGATGTTCCCATGTGTAGAAGCTCAAAGATAAGGGAGCTCAGGTGAATGTCTCAAACACTGATAGCTGGATGGCTTTGGAGCCAACCAAGGATTGTTGCTAGTAACAGCTAAGGATTGTTAGTAATAGAACACTGAATAGAATGTGGCTGGAGAAGGGGCCACAGGGAGGTAGAGCAGTGTTTTTCTGGGACAAACATCCTTATCCTGGCTCCTGGAGATTAGCACAACACAGCACAGGTGTAGGAATGAGGTCAAGAAGCAGGCATGTAGGAGGATATGGAGACCACAAAATACCCTGAAGCCTCCAACCCATTTCCACAGTAACTAAATTACACAGAAAGGGAGAAACTTACCTCCAGGGAGGGAAATTTATCTATAAAAAGGTACCCTCACAAAGCCCTGCGTGTGCACCCCATGACCCTGAACACTCCATCATCTGCATCAGCAATGGAGCCAGGACTGCTGATCTCTCTCTCTCTCTCTCTCTCTCTCTGTCTTTCTCTCTCTTTTTCTTCTTTTCTTTCTTTCTGTTCCTCTTTAATTCATCTCTTTCTCCCTTTCCTTTCACCTCCCTCCTTTATCCTAAACCCACTGCTGGGTGCTTAATAGGAGGCTAAGAACTAATGTACCAATTTCCATAACAAGTGTGTAATTTACTAACAGAGCTTTGTAGGATTTTGTGGACCCTCTAACTTCCGACATTCCTTTCGTCCGCAAGCATCTGCAAATCTTGGGTGCTCCCTTCCCCTGGAGGGTGAGAGGCTACACCCTGAGATTCTTTCCTGCAGCTTGGATTCTGATCTATTCCCTTCATCTGGGCATGTTTGAGACCAGATTCATGTTCCAAGGATACCCCATGAACTGGTCTATGATTTATGCCTAAATGTTCTCCTGGAGGCTGTTTTTTTGGTTTGCAACCTAGTCACTAAACTGCTACATTAGAGGAAAACTGCAGCAGTGACTGCGTTAGAGGAAAGCAGAAGAAATTGTCTTTTGTTCAGCATTGTCCTTGAATGTGAGGTCTTGTATCCACCATCCATTTTAAGTACTGTCAAAGTCTACTGGGTAGTGCAAAGGAGCAGGATTTTCATAAAATGTTATAGCACTACATATGTTAACTAGTTTCCACCAAGCTAGAGCCTAATTCAAAAATTACATTTTATCTCCTAAGCACAGTGTATTATTAAAAGAGCTAATGTGCACTGAGTAGCTCAATAAGTGATAGTTTTTTTTACTGAGAGTGAAGAGTGATGTAACCTTGCTTTGAAACTCAGTGACTCTGCTTTGGGTACAGGTGTCAGTGCCAAATGATGTGTTGCATTTTACATGTAATTGTGTACAAAAGAAAAACTCCAGAAACTGAGAGAGAGACAATAGTATTCTAGTATTTAATTTATGATGCCTTGTATGATTTCTCACAAGTGATGGTTTGTTAATGTATTGGACCTAATGCTGAATGTTTGCTTTGCCTGCGCATCTCTAACTGTGGTATACCCAAATTTAATACACATCTATCTATCAGCATGTTCAATTTGATTTCTGTCTTCTAGATGGAAGTAAGAACATATTTGAAAACTAGTTTTAATTTTCACTATGGTGCTAAGTGGAGAGAGTTCCAACAAGTTTGCAGTTTGCTGTGAAAGGACTTCAGTTATTTTTATCAGTAGTAGAACTATCTGAGTTGTTAGTTTGTTTCTCTCTCAAGTTCTTTGATGTGCTGTACCATAGAGTTCAATAATGTTGTCTGCCAGTAGGCTGGAGCAGAAAGTGTTTGGGAAGATTGGTTTTCCAGGGGGGAAATTTTAGTGACAGTGAAAGGTACTGTGCTGACAGATATTTCCTGTCAGCCATGAAGTAGGTCCCAAGAGGGAGCAGAAATTGAATTCTCCTACCCATGTAGTCCTCGGTCCTTCCAAGCTGGACTTCCACACAGACCTGGTCTCAAACTTCTTAGTTTTAAGCTTGAAGTTGAGTGGTCTACTTGGGATTCATCTGAAACTGTAAATATGTTTCATACAACACCCCAAGGAGTCATATGTGAAAATTATTTGGGACTACTGCCAGCCCAGGCTGAATTTGAACTAGTGACCCACCATCCACTTTATATTCCTGGTATGATCCATCATATAAGCCTGATGTTGAAATTTGGCATTTCCAGAGGTACTTTTAACATAATAAATGTGCTTCCAAAGTTCTGTTTTGCCCCTGGGTATCAGTGTTCAAAACACTGGCATGTTCTTTGCTCCCTCTGAATGTGAAGGGAGTGGAGTTGCCTAATAGCCACTCAGAGAAGGAGCTGCAGAACTCTCAGCTAAACCTTTCTGTTTTGTTTCTGTTCTTTCTTAACAGGATCCAACAGCTGCAGCTATTTCGGACAGAGATTGTGATACGAGAGAGGGAGAGACTGTAGCCATGAACTATAAGCCATCTCCACTTCAAGTGAAATTAGGTGAGTCTGTGCTGATGGAGAGTGAAAAGGCTGAATCCAAGGCCTGAAAGACAGAATCATATTCAGATCTCTGTGCATGTGGCTGAGCGTGCCATCAAGGCTCAAGCAACTCACAGAGCAGTTTTATCATTGTGATTCTGCTGCTGTGATTCAGGGAACTGACCTACAAACATGTAAAGCCCCTGTATCCATGGATGTGGTAAAGAAAGGAAGCAATGCCTTAAAAGCAAGGCATAGTTCATTTAAACCTACAGGTTTTTTATTAAGCTGAAATCAAGGCTTGGCCAAATAAAGAATGAAGATAATATGGAGGGACTGTAAAAAGAAGAGAAGGCAGAATAGTTGCAACAAAAGGTAAAGGATCAGGGAGTTGAGACACTACCAGAAAAAGTGCTGCTTTTCTGTGAGATGAAGGACTTTTAAGTCCATAAAGGTTCCCACACAAATACCCATCTATTTCTGAGCAGTATTTTTTTAATTCTGGAAGCAGAATCATCCTGTTACTACAAGACACTGCTTATTTTCAAGGCTAATGCTTACAAGAGCAATCCACACATGCCTGTCTGCCTCCAAAACCTGAGCAGCTATTTAGCCACACAGCTTCAAGAACCTGATGACAGACAAGCCAAAGGAACAGTGTGCTTTTTGCTAAAAAAAATGGAAATCTAAGTGTGGAAAATTTCCCAGTAGGAGCAGGAAGGAGTCCCCTGGCTGTCCTTCACATCAGAGCAAGTAACGTTGAGAGGATGCTGCTGATTGAGGGTGGTTATGCAAGTCATGAATACTCTGAAACAGTGGCTGCTTTTCAGGAAAAGGCAGGGAGCAGCAGTGTGTGTTAATGACAGCACAATTCATAGTTTGGTAAAAGATTATTACTGCCAGCATGCCATATGCCACCAGGATCCTTTTTCGCTTCCAAGACAGTTCTTTAATGTTACTAGGCAGATAATTACTACTGCAGTAGTTGTTTTGGATAATTTAACACCAGGAAACAGGTTAGAGAGCAATTGATGCTATTATTGGTAAGTCTGCAATATTCTTGACTTTCTACGCAATGAAATATCCTCCTGAGATTCACTAACCTGATAGGAAATGGGGCTTTTTTAGACTTGGCTTTGGTAAGTCATGACACCTTTCTAGGAGATCAGATCATTGAAAACAGATTTGGATTCAGGGTGAAGAAGTTCAATTCATAGAAATTAAATGGAAGAGTAATTTGAGGTAGATCTTTAACCAATCTCAGTATTATAAATAAAGCTGGTAGAATGAGAAACTTGGGAAGTCAACACACATCAGGTGGTGTTGAAGGAGAAAGTATCAGAAGAAAGGACATTACTAATGAAGTTCTCCAACAGTCATTTTGTGTATATGTTCATTAATGACTTTTACATAAAATGCAGGAGTCGGCAGAGAAAATTTAGTAGAGCATATTTGGGAGGAATAAGTACAGTAAAGGCTCAGAAATAGCATAGAGGAAAAAACCATGAAAAGTGGAATAATAGAAATGAGAAGAATAGGACAGGAGAAACTCACTGTTCTGTAAGCTGACATTTATCAGCTGGGGATGACTACATCAGTTGATTTTAAGGTTATTATTATTGAAATGGACTAATACGTGAAAACAGTCCACAGTCACACTTCTGCAGAACTTACCAACTTTTTTCCAGGAATCAGATAGAGGAGAATTATTAGCTCTTCCTGCCAGAACTTCTGCTTTCCCACATAGGAAATATTCTCTTTCATTTAGCCAGTGCTGAGTGGCATGAAGAGTCAAAGGGAGGTACTGGAAGTGTTTGAGCAGTTTTTGTAGTGGAGGCACACTGTTCCCAGGACCTCCTTTCCCCTTGGTGCCTCTGCCAAGTGACCTCAGTGCTGACCACAGTATGCTTATGAAGATAACAGGGGGTGAAAGCTACCTGCTGAAGAGGAATTGCCCTGAAGGCTGACAAGCATCTTCCTGCCTTGTCTCCAGAGAGAAGTTTGCCCCAACACATCTCTGTGAAAAGAGTGTTCCTCTTTAATGAATTGTACACATACCTAGTGGCACTTGGACCAGCTCTCTACTCTTAGCCATACTCAGATGAGCTCTAGGTTATCTGAGGCAAAATGAGACTAACAGTATTGTCTGTGGCCAGTGTAACATGCCTTTAACACATCAGCTCCTGCTGCTCTTATTCTAAAAATCTGCACAGCCTCTTCGATTTTCTAGAAGCTTAATCACTGCATCTCCCAGCTCTGGCCCCCATTCCTCTGACTAGATTTTTTTGTCCCTTCTGCATTGAACTTGTCAGGGTTGGTTTTAATCTCTTTGAGGCTAGAAAAAGTTAAGGTGGTACATAAATTTTTAATAGCTTATCTGGCAAAGCCATTGTTTGGGGATGGTAGCAACTAGGGGCTTCATCCTATTGCAGGTTTTCCATATGGATGGTGGCATTTTTCACTGTTAAATCAGAATCAATTGTTCAAATGTCAGATGTTCTGATGGAAGGTTGATAAATGTCATTTTTCAGTTTGCAAAGATTTGTGTGTAAATCTGTCGTATGTGCTTGCTGGAAGCTTGGTTCAAGTGAGCTCAATTAAATACCAACCCAGCATGAGTACAACTTTTGCTTCCAGACGCTGTAGTGATTGAAGTGTGACAGAAAGAGCGTGAAAACTGCACATAGTGCACGCAGATTTATCCTGCTGCTTGAGTGGTCTTTTCCTTGGTTGCTTGTTCCCCTCTAAATAAATACATTTGGCTACATGTTTGCTTGAGGGGGGTCAGTTAGATACAGGAAAAACTTCATGGGTGTCTTGTATTTCTAGTGACTTCCTAAAGGTTGCACCTGTTTCATAAATGGAATAATAGTGCTTGATGCTAGGGCCACATCAAGAAAAGAACCTCGCAGCAAAGGGAAATAAGATCTCTGAGTTCACACAGGTCATAATTTTCAACATTTATTGATACTGTATCCATATTAATTATGTATTTGTCACTTTTCTAGCACTCCCACTTTGTCTTTCTATCCGGAGCTGCAATGTTCAGCCTTGCTTCTTTCTTTCTTTCAGATCATTGATAAGGAGACTTCTGACAGCAAGGGTTGGGGGTTGGGTGTACATTAGTGCTTAGGAGATGTCTCCAGCACATCCTTATTAGGAGCCATATCCAGATGGAGCACATACCACAAGCCTTTTGAAAACAGAGGAGAGTTATGATAAGGAGGAACAGAATAATCCCCAAGTGTAAATCTCAGGGCACCACATCCACTGGAAGGCAACAGATCCTCCTAGCATTCCCAGGAGATGAGATATTATTTTAATGAAGCTTATGCCATCTGCTTTTCTATTTTGCATTTTTAATTTCCCTTCTCTGGTCTGAAATCACTACCCAGACAGTCTGTGTCTGTCTTTCCTAGCAGTCATGACATTAGTTTGTGTTAAAACAGAATGGGCAATGTGGAAATTGGTTGGAGTGCTGTAAAACATGCAACAGGTGGGATGAAGGGTTATGGCAGAGGCATCTTCATCAGCACGTCCACCACACTGGGAGCCTGGCAGTAAGATGAACATGTGGGAGAGAGGCAGAGACACTCACAGCTGCCTTCAGCTCTCCAAGGTGCCTGTGGCCTTAGATGGAAGCACCTCCTCTCCTTGGATTATGTAGGGAATGAGACACTGTTTTTGGAAGATTTCTCAAAGGGGCCATAAAAGTTTGTGAAAACTGAATGTCTACGCTAAAGAAACAGAGTCACACGTCAAGGATGTTACTGGAATGCTGTTCACTTAGACCAAGCAGAACTGATAGGGTTAAAAAGTAGCAAAATCACCGTCACAGGGACATAGAGAATGGTGTTCCCTGGTGTGTCTGACTTGGACAAAACTAATTCGTGACTGAGCCCCATCTTGGTGGAGATTGAAGTGAACAGAGGATATAATCCATCAGGGGACAGAGGCTGATGACATGTCTGTATTGTTAGCTCCTGCCTTCCAGCCTGCTGCAGTGTATTCATGACAGATATTGAATTGCTCTGTGGTCAGAGAGGAATAGTACCAGGACTATCAGTCAGAACTACAAAGCCCTCTGGGTTCAACTTAACAAAATTGGTGCATTTCTGCCTGAAACTTTACAGAAGGTCTCTGATCCCAGTAAACAACAGAGTGCCCCATGTGGCTTTTGAGATTAATCTTTCAATTGGTGTAGGTGTTTTACCCCTTCCCCCCAGGGTGAGGTGTGTGTTCAGAGCTTGTCTTAAAGCTCTCCATCGAAGAGCCACAAAGCACACAGCAGAGTAGCCTCTCCTAGTGCTGCCCAAAAGGATGCTGTGCTCAGAGATCCCCTTCCAGGACTTCTCTTGCCTCAGGTCAAGATGCAGAGCTGGGAAGTGCAGTCACAAACAGAGCCGACAGGAAGCATCTTATGTAGGCTAAAAGGCTCTATATCTGCTTCCATCTGTGGCTCCTTTTCTGCATCATCACTTCCCAGTCTGCTCCAAAACTTGTGACTTCTGAAGCTTTTCATACAGAAAACAGAATAATAAAGGGGAAGTTGAAGTAGAGTGGACAGATCAATGCCATTAGTGTATCATTTTGTCAGTACTTCAAGTACTGTACTATTCCCAGTTGCTTTTCTGTAACAAGGTGATTAATGCTAATTAGGTACAGTAGCTGTTGTTTCTGGGAAGATGCTCTGTAGGTAAATTAGGGAAACATTTTATAAAAAGGCTCTAACTCTTAAGCTGGGTCCCCAGGTTCCAGCTCTGTTGACAGAACTGCAGATTTTCATATCCATAACTGTTTGCATGGCGACCTCAAGTGATATCATTACCTTAAGTGCAAAAAGCCATTTTGCTCCCCTGGGAGCACCCATTTCCTTGAACACAGTCTGTGCACTGTGCAGGGGGAAGGGTGGGGTGGAAGCCAGAGAGCAGGAGCAATAGAGTGCTGCTATTGATTTTCTTCATAAAGACAGTAGTGCAGCCCACCACTCAGAAGTCTCATGGGGCTTGGGAGGAATTTAT